GAAACTATAGAATATTTTTGAAATTTTAAACAGTTTATAGAATTTTTTATGTGTGCGTGCGTGCGTGCGTGCGTGCGTGCGTGCGTGCGTGCGTGCGTGCGTGCGTGTGTGTGTGTGTGTGTGTGTGTGTGTGTGTGTGTACAGAAAAATATTATAAAGAAAAGTGATTGTTCAATTTATTTTTTTTGTTCCTTTTAAATACTTTAATATTTTCTTAATAATATATTCTTAAAATATATTAATTATAAATTTTAGAAAAACTCGAGAAAAACTTATTATGTACTCAAAACAAGACTTTTCTTTTGAAGAATATTATAAAATTGATTGAAGAAGCAAATTGAATTTATTTAAATTTAATAATCTTGATTGAAGTATTAAATTCACTTGGATTCTAAAATATTTTGAATAAATTTGGTGCTTGTGATGAAGTTATACAATATGATAGATTTACGGACATACGAACTTTTGAAATACTTGAAACAAATAAATTATAACTTGAGTGCAGTATACATTTTTGTATGTACCATGTAATCTGTATTATAGTTGAAGTTTTGATTTTATGTATCAGAATTCTGTTGATGCTGGCGTCAAAAGACTTGTAGATTTCACGGCTATTCGTCGACTATTCGTCGTCGTTGACTGTTGTAAACGAGCTTTCGAATGCCCTCCGAAGACCCCTCCACCTCTCTTCTCCATCCGATTGCGAAGATCCATCGTTCGCTACCGATGAAGCTGCCATCGATTGTCACGACCGGACGATTATTACCCTCGACATATTGTGTCCGTGTATCAGGTCCACCACAGCGATCAATTTCACGGGAACCGACGCTTGTCCGCCGTCACACATCTCGTCCCCGATTTATAACCCCGATCTTTTATTCCAATCTCCGAAATGCATTTGCGTTGCCAAATGCGGCTTACAAGAGAGTTCTCTCGAAATGTTCAATTAAGGATGATATTGTTGAAAGAAATTCGCTTCAAGATTTTTGCTATTTTTAGTCTTATAAATTTTTTTTACTAAAAAAAAAGGAATAAATTTGTAAAGAAATTTTATGATTGAGACATCTCGTTTTGACGTGTTGCGTTATCGAACATAGTGTTGATTTAATCTTAGCTTTTTTAAAATTTTGACACAAAAGTTGACATAGATTGAACAGAAAAATATTTACAAAACATTCGAAAATTCGTAGAAATGTTTGTAGTCAGACCAACGCGACGAAGCTACATATATTTCCTTTTCCTCAGAGGAAAAATAAAATATTAGGTGAGAATGTGTGCGTCAGATCGAGCTTCGGAAATCCGGTCACCGGGGAAATTCCCGGCAATACTTTTCTCCAATGTGCCAACTGTCGAACTCATGGAAAATAGTCCAATTGATACTGCAAAGGTGAACTTGTGTCGAAACGATAAAACAGTGTGAAAGGGAGAGAAGGAGGAGGAGGTGGTAGTTCATTTGAGGTGCGTGCGAGGAAGTGAGCGTATCGTGTTGAGCGGAGAGCGAAGAGCGGAGAGCGGAGAGCGGTCGTTTTGTATCACGTGAATCGCAGAGACGAGACGAGACGAGACGAGACGAGACGAGAGACAAGCACAAGTTAGGCGAGTTTGGGGATTGCTGTGTGCGCGCAAGGGGGAATCGTCGTGGCATGAATAATGTATCGTGAATATTGTAGCCGGTCTCGAGACAGCTGCTGTCAGTGGCCAATTACAGGCGGCTTATAAAACAAATAAATCGATCAGCTGAGTGATTGCGCATAAATTAAGAGCGGCCTTTGCTCGACCTAGCTGGCTCTCTAGAAGTCGAACGAATATCGTTGATATCGTAGTCGTCGTCTTCTTGAATGCTCGGATGTATCGAATGGATTGAATCACGCGGAAAAATCTCGTTGAACGTTGGTTAAATCGAAGGACGTCGTTCAGTTCAATTAAGTTCGTCGAGGAAGTCGATTAATTATCCAAGACTGTCAGGTGACGATTTATGGTACTCAACATCAGAAAATCGCGATTTACGCACTTTCTTGCTAGTTCTGCGAGAATTTTAATCTTTTACTCTTGCAAATCCAGTTATGTTTATCTACATTAAAGTATATTAATATATTTGAAATATCCATTGCATATTTTATTTTAAATCTTTCTATTTTAACAAAACGTTGAATAATTCAGCAATTTATTATTTTCTTATTTATTGTGTGTGTGTGTGTGTGTGTGTATGTGTATGTGTGCTATATTATTTTTATTTGTCTTGTACATAGGCTTAAGCTTCAAGGCTTCTTATTGTTAGACAAGGCATTATGCTGCTACTTCACCTGTTGAGGTGCATCTTTTCACCTACTTTATTTTTTGCTGTACATTAATGCATGCTCTCTTCGTTATTTTGCACTTTAAAATAAAGATTGTTATTATTAATTCTAATAATATAATAAGTAAAAAATATAAAGCGCAAAAATTGCACGCTTGCAGATTTAGTTTAAAAAAATGAAATAATTGCATGGACTCGCAAATGGCTAAACAAGTTTGAAGTGTCGCGATTTACACGTGCACAAAGGCATTCGTTTCCCAGCGTTGGACAACGACAAGTTCACATGAAAAAAAGGGCGTTTTGCAGACGAAGTTATAACACGTGGCCGGGAAATAAATGTCATAGTAACGAGAATCCAATAATGTCGCTCCCATTAAACGTCAACGGTACGTAATTACTCGGAGGCTTGTTGCAACAAAAATCAATCGTTCTCGCACAGCGACAGCAAAGTGACTGTACGTGAGAGAATAGATTGAATTTCTGAGGCAGAGTTCACTATTAGAGCTAATACCTTATTCCTAATCGATATATACCAGTGAGTTTCTATACACACAGGAAAATACATATATTTAAATATTAATTACTTGTTTCCAGTACATTTAATTATTCGTTTTCAGTATTTCAATAGTTCGTATATCCACAAATCTATCATAAGTTTATGACAATTTAATTTATTTAAAATATATTCCGAATTTTAATAAGTTTAATTACTTCAATCAAAGTTATTAAATTAAAATTCAATTTTATTATATAAATTCTTGTTTTAAGTACATTGTAATGTAATGAGTAGATATAATGAGTCTTTCTGAAATTTGTAATGAGTACAGTTTAAAATTATTATCAAAAAAATATTCTTTGTTAAAGATAACTGTTATTTGAAAGGAAAAATAAACATTTTTCTTAGCAATAGAATGATATTTTTCTATGTGTATTTATTCGTTGAAAATTATACCTATAATTTTGAAAGCATTGAAATTTTAGATAATTTTAATAGATTTAAATTTAGTTTAGTAATAAACAAAAATAATATATTTATCTATATGTAATCTATTAATTTCTGGCATTTAGTTTTATAATGAAATTTAATAAAAATTTATTCTCTTTTTTTGATATAATATAATGAACGAATTAATTAGCATTAATGGAAGTACATCTGCAATGCGAGATTAAAATATCCTTTGTTTTCTCTCGTCGAAAAAAATTGCACATTTAGTTTTTAAAACACTACACAATACACGCGTATCACGTTTGTCTTTCCGTGATGAAATATTGCAAGATATACGAGCGAACGATTTATGTCGAAGTTTAAATTTCTATTTGTTGGAAAAATCTCGTTAAGCTTGAAGAATATTTAGCTTACGAATAAAAGAAGTCATTTTAGAGACGTTTCACTAGTATTCTGGTATGCTCATAAATACCGCCGTAAAACGACGGAGAAATATTCTTCGACGAGTTTCCATTGCCAGATGCAGCTTTGTGTTTTGCGTTCGAAACGGCATCTCTGCTTGTCGTACAATTTCTACATCCTACGCTACCGCAGGTCGCGTTAGTGTGCAATAGGACAAATATGTGTGTGAGTACCTGCAGTATCGCGTATATATTCAGGTATCACGTACGAAAGTAATTTGGCGGCAAATAGTAGCCGATTTCCGAGAAGCTACGACCTCACAAACGGCGACTGTATTTCGCTCGGATTCCATCGTCGTAATTAAAGCTCGCTCAACGTTCATGACGTTGTAAGTTGCCGCGAAAATGCCAGGAAGGACGATTCACAACACCATGTATACTGATATAGTCAAGTTTATGATTCGCATCATGCGGGATATGAACCGCTGTATTTTTATATATTTAAATTTGTAGTGCATTTCTATTTGACGATATTTTTCTTTATATATTCAATAAAGTTAAAATATAATAAGTATTTTAAATACTTTATTACTATTCTCGTCATGTTTGACTTCTACAAATGCTAGTTTGAATTATCTTTATATTCTAAATTTACAAGTTGGAAAATTATTTTGACGTAACTTTCGTAGCTAATAATTATCTTTATGTGAGACGATCGTTAAATTTTATCTGTTACTCGAGTTACCACAGATAGAATAAAGGCACACAATTATTAATCATGTGACATGCGCGCTCGCATGTCTCGCGAATAAATTCATATGCCAGGTAGCAAGTCATGGTAACAAGTTTATATGAACGTTCTCGTACCACTGCCTGATCATGCTGTCTTCCAAATATGGCTACAACTGAAGTTTGCGAACACTTTGCGCACAATACGTGAGGCGCAAACTGGTCGCGACCTGTATTCCCAATTTATTCGTGCTAAAGTTCGCAAACAGCTTGTGGACAGCCGACGAGCAGTTACAAAGTTGTTTCCCCCCCCCCCCCCTCATCGCCGCTTGTTGATATATAGAGCTCTCAGTCCAAACTTCAAAATCCAGGATTATGTCGTCAACTTTAATTGTCGGGCCCGAAACATTTATTATTAATTTTGTGTTTTAGATTTTAAATTTAAAGTTTAAGATTAAAGATTAATTGAAAAGCTAAACGCTGCTTTAAATTAAAGAACAGAAATTTGTAAAAGTAAAGTGGAGAAATATAATTTGAAATATTTTATTTTCCATAGTGGAAAAGTAAAAAATTTGTGGAGAAGATATATTAACTATCTTAATATGAATTTTGAATTTTATGTTCACAGATGAGACATTGGCAAAGATGAAACAATCTCCGGAGAGAAAAGGATGAAGCTTCTTCATTTAAAGATCAGATTCAGAATGTCAAAGGATAGCGCACCGTCATTTCCTCAACCAAAGGCAAGGAAATTAAGTCTCGAGTTTAAGGTAAGTAAACATTTTCGCGGCTGCATCTAAAATTATGTAATCTTGAATTATTCCTGTTAAATTTTTTTAAATATCTCTAGGGGATACTTACGTATATTATTTTTCCATCCCGTCATGGAATATGTCTCCTAAATAAATAATTTCGCAGGTATTATTCTTTATATGAACACTGCGTTATTTACTCTCTAAAATCTTGGAGTAGAATTTAAAGACAAAATGAATCTGTGTTGGAAAAAAGGGGTTTACTTGTCAATTTTTAAGAGTGAGATTTCACTATTTAGAGTTAGATTCCATTTCAAAAATTTTATAAAGTAACTGATCTCTCTCTCTCTCTCTCTCTCTCTCTCTCTCTCTTTCCAATGGAATATTACTTGCATTTCTCGATTAACTGTGATAAATGACTTTTGAATTATTTGTAATTGGTTTTCTACTAATTGAAATGCTTGATTTTTATTTCTGAAAATACTACAATTAATTTTTTATTGATTTTTAATTTTTACGAGTAATTATAGTTAATAAATAACTTTTAAGAAAGAATTCTGAATTCCTATAAGACTGCTTATCTATTATTTTCTTATCTGTTAAGGCTAGAAATGATAAAAAAATATAAAGATATTCTTTCTTTCTTATTCTCTCTCTCTCTCTCTCTCTCTCTCTCTCTCTCTCTCTCTCTCTCTCTCTCTCTCTCTGCTTTTATTTAACCAGCATTATTTAAATTTATCAGCATTCTTATGAGAATCCGTTTTTGAACTCACATGTATCGTAAAGATAAAATTCCTTGCCAAGCAATACTTTGCAAGAAATAATTTATGTAACCGATGCTTCGACGTTATTCGTGTCGATGGTTCCGCTATTAACTTGCTACACAATGGAGCGATTTAACAGGACCTCGTCGCGATTCGCGGAAGAAGTGAACGCGTTAAAAGTTCTCTCAATGGCTGGGAGCTTCTTTCCCTCTTTTCTGTGCCACGGCAATTTTCATTCTTCCAACTACGTTGCACGGTAAGATCTTTAATAGCTTCTACGCGGTAGGAAACCTTCGTCGAGTGCAGCAAGGAAGGCGCCACGAGATAGAGTTGCCAGATGTCCTGTATATACATGAATTGTCCTGTATTTTAGCTTGACTTTCAGCGTCTTGGTCGAGAAACGCAATTGTCGCGTACTTTAAAGTTTTGGCATTTAATTAAAGTACAACGAGGACATGTGAATATTTTTGGAGTACATACATATATACATATATAAAATACATATATAAAATATATATGTATATATGTGGTGTACACATATATTCAGAGATTATTACTTTTTGAAATCTTTAGAGTGGAATCTGAGTCTAAAGAATGATAAAGAATGAGCCAGTACTGAAAAAAAGGAGCACAATTGTTAATTTATAAGAGTAAACTGTAGACTTAGATTTTATTCCAGAGATTTTAGAGAATATATAATATATTACTGCAATCTTTAGTAAATTGATATACAGGTTTTTTAAAGTACCTCGTAAAAAATTATCGATCTACATATTTCTTGTATTATTTTGTACCTATCCTCGAAATTAAAGCACGTCTGTTGCATTCGACGAACGGCATCGATCTTCGAAGGAGAACGATCGCTTCCGAACAATTTATTTCCAGTTATACCCGAGCAAGGTTATTATAAGCGAGTCGAGGGCCATTAAGGTGCAAGCAACATCTGGAGTCGCTCCCGTGATTTATATCAACGCGAGTCGAAGGTCTTCATCGATTTTATCTCATCGTCGAACAGGCAGTAGTTTGCGCATCGACCGAAATACGCGCCGGAAAAATTATAATTGCCATAGTACAGGGGGTTTTCTTCTTTTATTCTTTATCGACAATAAACCGCGACACGTGCGCGATAAAATGCGAACGTGCGGTTAACTATAACATCGATATCAAGTATCCAGTGTGCGACCTATAAATCCGTGAATTCCCTTTGCGTCAAAAAATATTTAACAAAAAAAAAAATGAAAGGCCCGACAGTTGAATTTATGAATAACGTAACGCGACACCGTACTTATTTTTTCTCTCTGTTAGTTCTGAAAAGAGAAAAGTCCATGTAAAATAATAAAATTTGAAACTGTAGAAAAAAGTAGAGTTTCGACCCAAAACACGTAACATTTTTAATCGCCACTGGAAAGTGATATTAAAGATTAGATTAATTTTTGTAAATCACGTAATGTGATTTTGTAAATTTAATTTTGAAATTTTTATGACGATTAAAAATAGTGAAACATGCATGATCGCATTTTATAAATAAATAAATACGATATCATAAAGTTCTCTATAATCCTAGTACAACTATTTGGAAAATTTTTATGCTATAAAATTAGATATTTTGAACATTTAAAAATCGTTCTAAACGATAATCCGTCTTTGGCAAGTCGTGACCAGAAAAGAGCATTACGTAACGAAGAGGCGATTATCAACTTGACGAATGCGCGCTATCTACGATTCTTCTTGTATAATTTATACTTAGTATTCGCTTTATCACCTTTATCTCGCAATGCGAATCAACTACATGGAGTAATGCATTTTACTGTCGGATCGTACGAGCTCACTACATATTTATCGACCGCGACGTGATTTGAATATGCGCCACTGCCTTTAATGCATCCTCATTGCATTACGGTACAGTAGTAGCGAAGTCCAGAGATGCTAGAATATGAGAATATGAACCATCTACCGTTATTATGATTTACCATCCATTCCGTAAATTGGTGCAAAGTATCATGAATAGAAAGCAGGGAAGTTATGAGAGAAAGAGTTATTGAATTGTTAGAATTGGATATCTGTGTATTGAACTAAGTAAATATATTAATCGTGCAGAAATAATAAATTAATAAAATAAAAGCCTGCAGATACATAAAATAATAAATTAATAGAAAGAAGGAAATCGCATTAAACAAAATTATTTTAAGTCTATAGAACTTATATTTCTATATATACATTCATTATTATATCTTCAGCTTGTATAATATAATATCCGTTTAATAATTCAACAACTGTATCATCGCTTTTTAATAATAATCATCGCTTTTGATATAAAGGCATAAAGGTCTAAGAATAAATTTGTAAAAGCTAAAGTTATGAAATGACGTGATTCAAACGTTCCGACGCCGTCTAAACATAGTTTTGATTTATGAACATAAAGGATACGCCTCGTTGCGGAAATAAGCCCATCAATTATGAATTTATGCCGAATCGCAGTAGCCATTGAGCTCATCGAGCGCCAACGGACGCGTCTCTCTGTCTCATTTACGGACAATTAACGCACAGCGCAACGCGTGGAGATTAATAAACACGCGACGCCCACGCGGAAGGCAGACAGAAGGTACGAGACGGGTATAATTTAACGGCGGTCGCGAAGGGGGAGCGTTAATTGAGAATGATCGACTCTCCTCGTCGGCGTGGCGTGGCTCCGCTTCGCTCGACGCGGCTGGAACAAATAATAGCAGTCGGATCGAGGCGCGTATCGCATCGTCGCATCTCCCTCGTCTTATTCCGCTGCGCTGCTTCGGCCTGGCCTGGCCTGCCCTGGCATGGCCTGGCATGGCCTGGCCTGGCCTGGCCTGGCGTGGTATGGCGTGGCGTGGTATGGCGTTTCTCGTGATTCCAATTTTTCCCCCGTGCCGACGCGATAAAGAGGCCACTCCACCGCCTCGAAACAAGATTGATCGTGAAGCGTGCTCGTGAGCGCCGCGAGGAAGGGTGCAAAAACACTCGCGCCCACCTGGACTTTCGAGGGAATGTAAGGAGATTAAATTAAATCTGCAATTGAGAGGAATTTTACGGAGTAATTCGTTATTAACTCCTCGAGAAAGAACTAAATTACTTTTGGCATGTTGAGCTCGCGAGAATTTTATCAATATGCGTTTAATTAATATGTGTTCAATATTAATCCTTTATTTAGAACTGTACACTTAAATCTATAGGATGAATTTAACCTAATTTGAGTCGCCATTGCTCTCACTCAATATATATATCGTTAGTTTATACTAAAATAATTAATGGATAAACATATAGTGTCAAATTTATCTTTTAATTGTTTTAGTATAAAATAATTATATTGATAAAAGAGCAGCTAGCGACTTAAATTAAGTTAAATTTGGCGCTATAGATTTAACAGTGTATAACGCTGTTGATTTATTTATTATGTGGAATATACTTCAGAATTATTATTGTATGATTATTTTTGTCTCCTGTGAATATTGATTAATTTCAAATTTTCCTAAATTAAAATTGAAATTGATCAAAGAGTTGTAGATGAAAGAAACTCCGAGAAATCTGAGCAATTTTAAATGTTAAAATTGATTGGAAACAAGTACTGAGAAAGAATTGAATTACCTTTGAATTCGTGAGAATCTTGTCAATATTTCAAATGTGTTCAATTAAAATATTTTAATTCTTTATTTAAAACTCTTATACGTTGTCGATTTATTAATTATGTCGAATATACTTTAGAATGAATATTATCTGATTATTCTTGTTATCTGCAAATATACATTGATTAATTTGCAATTTTCCTGAATCAATGTTGAAATTGATCAAAGATCATTTATCGCAAGAACTAGCGTTAAGAAGAGACCGAATTGTCTTCGGTACGTTGAGTTCGCGAGAATCTCGTCAATTATTCAAATGTGTTGAAATATTTCAGCGCGCTGCTTGCAGAATCAGATATGTATAATATATATATTTATACAGAAATATTTAATAATTTATATAAGCACTGAAATCTGCTTTAATTGAAAAATAGGATTTCTCTTATTTAATTAGATGTGTTTAAATATATTAGTCTTTTATTTAGAGCTCTATATTATACAATGTTGATTTATTAATTATATGAAATCAGAATTATTATTTATTATTATATAGCCATTCTATTATCAACGAATATACATTAATTTGGAATTTATCCAAACATTGAAATTGATCAAAGAGTTCGCAGATGAAAGAAAATCCGAGGAATCTGAACAATGTTCTAAA